AACAACGATTTATAAAAGTTTTATTGTTGGTGGAACATACTACAACAATAGGTAGTAAAACAACGATTTATAAAAGTTTTATTGTTGGTAGAACATACTACAACAATAGGTAGTAAAACAACGATTTATAAAAGTTTTATTGTTGGTGGAACATACTACAATAATAGGTAGTAAAACAACGATTTATAAAAGTTTTATTGTTGGTGGAACATACTACAATAATAGGTAGTAAAACAACGATTTATAAAAGTTTTATTGTTGGTGGAACATACTACAATAATGGGTAGTACAACAACGATTTATAAAAGTTTTATTGTTGGTGGAACATACTACAATAATGGGTAGTACAACAAGGATTTATAAAAGTTTTATTGTTGGTGGAACATACTACATATTTCAACATAACATTGGTCTGTCTTCTTAACTTATGATTAGTACTAAACAATACAAGGTTTACATATTGTACAAAGACAAGACACGGGGATTAATTGTGATAGAAATGGCGTCAGCAGGTGACTTGATATAGGTAAAGGTCAAGTCAAGTGTATGAACGGTGAACAGACGTTGCCAATGCGGCTGCTGATGTTAGTAGGGCCATTATCGTGGTTTAGTGAAAGATCGCTTACTTAAGTGATTTTATAGTTTATAAACAGTCTCTTTCTTTGTAGTTTTGTTTCATGTTGATGATAACTTCTACGCATTTGACCTTGATTTCTTTGCGTTTTATTTCTAAGAAACGTGACGTTTGTCCTATGTATTTCTTTACACGTTCACAAGGGATACTGTATATATCCCGTTTTTGTTCTTTTGATAGGGATTCTTTCACGTTAGGTAGTAAGATGTTAACTTTACGTGAAGTTTTGAATCAAGTTTTTTCATCAGTCCTTAAACCATTCAAAGGGCTAGTAAATTTGTGAGCAATTTCTGGCACAAAAAGGAAAACAAATTCGTGTTATTTTGTGTTGTTGAAAAAATGAAAGGTTAGAGTTAACATTTTTCATTGTTTTTTGAAGTTTGATACAAGCCTTAATTATGATATTGGGGTTGAAACCTCTAGATAGTGTTATGTTCTGTGGGTATTTCAATTCAATAATTAAATCTTGTTTGTGGGTGTAAAGTACGTAGGTGAAGTAGGAGGATATTTTCTGTGACAGGTGGTGATTAGATCTTATGTGTGGTGACATGGTGACGGAATAGGGTTACCTGTATATACAGGTGGTAACTTTGGAAAACAACTGTTGGACTATATTTTATGTGTGAACATTATGACATTAATGAGTTTTATAACCCAGTGAAATTGAGTAGCGTCTCTTTCCTATGTCTCCCTACACTGAAGATATCGTCTATGTATCTTAACCAGATTTCTGGTTTCTTGATGTGTATGAATTTGTTTCCAGACTGTTCTTCTTCTACAACGGACATGTAGAGGGGAAAAGGAGGATCCCATCGATAATCCAATATTTTGTTTATAAAAGTGGCCTTCGTATACAAAACAAGTGTTATTTAAGCAGTATTCTGTGAGGTTTATGAGGTGTTCTTTTAAACAGCGTGAAGATTGTTCAACAGATATTGAGGTAAATAAAAATTTTGTGTCCAATGATATTAATATATCTCTGTAAAGCTGATCAGAATTTTAAATCCAGTCGGTCAGTGGGCTCCTCATCTCTTGATAAACATACAATTAGTTTCTCAAGGATCATCCCTCGCTAAACAAATACATGTTGTGGAATATATTCACTCTAGCGTCTTGATGGCTCCTGAAAACATGTGAAATGTGTAACGGTGTTAATACTAAACGTTGGAGTGATACAATTTTGTTATCTTGTCTCTGCCCACTACTGGTATTGAAACCCAATTTTTAGCGTCTTGAGCCTGTGGAATTACTGCTGTGCCACTAGGGGGCCCTGAATAAGATATTACTTTCTTATTTGAGTTTATTTACGTCTGTGACTTTCAAAAGTTTCCTTATTAAAGATTGCGACACAAAACTTGGAAAATATAACTTGTAAAATACATTTATCAAATCCTACTGAGATTAATTTTTAACCATTCAAATTTTCACTCATCTCCCTCGTTATATCAACCAAATCCTCACTCCTCTCCCTCGTTATATCAATCAAATCCTCACCCACCTCGCTTGTTTTATCAATCAACTCGTCCCTCAATTCATTTTATCAATCAAATCCTCACTCGTCTCACTTATTTTATCAATCAAATCCTCACTCATCTCCCTTGTTTTATCAATCAAATCCTCACTCCTCTCCCTCGTTATATCAATCAAATCCTCACCCACCTCGCTTGTTTTATCAATCAACTCGTCCCTCAGCTCATTTTATCAATCAAATCCTCACTCATCTCCCTTGTTTTATCAATCAAATCCTCACTCACCTTCTCCGCCATTACAACACTCTGCACCAGTATATCTTTGACGTAAGACATGGCGTATTCTCGTACTTCAGTTAAAGTAGGGTCTGTGTGTTCTCCATTCTGTTGAGGGGAAATACATATTTTGGTTAGTATAAACAAAAAAATTTTAAACAGATTTTCCGAACGAATGTGTGCAATACGTAAAAAATATATGACTTTACTGTATTTATAGAATCAAGATTCTGTGGTGTGCAACAGATAACTAAAAATATAT